CTCTCTCTCTCTCTCTCTCTCTCTCTCTCTCTCTCTCTCTGTCTCCTTCCTATTTCGTTCTTTATCTCCCGTTTATCTAAATAGCAGCGCCCATAATTCCTTCTTCTCGTTCCGTTTCCTCGCATCATTCTTTCGCATCGTCATATTTCTCCCGTCCATTTGCAATTGCAATTCACTTCGTTCCCGTTTAATCCCCTTCCCCTTATCAATTAAACAATTTCCACAAACTGGAATACCATTTTTCACCCTCCTCTATTACGACCCTCCACTCTTATTATTACGATTCCTTTTCATTCCTTTTCGCTCATTTTTCTTCTTCACGGATCTCGATCATTCTATTTACAATCATCCCGAAGGAATTAAAGAGATTAAAAAAAAAAAAAAAAAAAATGTCCATTCACGGATCTATCTGTCTGTCTGTTTGTATTTCTTATGTATACGTAAAAAAAAGAAAAAAAAAAAATCGCCCGATAATCGCCCATAAACACACATTCGATGCATCTCAACTCAGCTCTTCGAGGGGTGAGTGATATTATTTGAGCAAACTCCATCGATTCTCCAACTAGTCCAGCTTGTTCGCCCGATTCTTTTCAGGATTCCTCTTCCTGATCTTGATATTTTTATCCGTGGCGGGCAACATTTTAGTCTGCGTGGCAATTTACACGGACCGCGGTTTACGGAGAATAGGGAATTTATTCCTGGCCTCCCTCGCTATCGCCGATCTTTTCGTCGGTTGTCTGGTTATGACGTTCGCCGGGGTGAACGATCTCCTCGGCTATTGGGTATTCGGGCCGCGATTCTGCGACACTTGGATCGCCTTCGACGTTATGTGCAGCACTGCCTCTATTTTGAATCTTTGCGCGATCTCTCTCGATCGTTACATACACATAAAGGATCCACTCAGGCAAGTATTATTCGACTCAGGGGCGAGCATTATTCTCTTCCCCCTGTGCCGCCCTCTTTCGTTTCTTCTTTCTTTCTTTCTTTCTTCTCGTTTCATTTCGTTTCATTGGTTGTCGTTACGCAAATTAGATACGGTCGTTGGGTGACAAGAAGGGTTGCGGTTGCTGGAATCGCTGTCGTATGGTTGCTCGCAGGGCTCATATCCTTCGTGCCGATCAGCCTAGGCCTTCACCGTGCAAATGAACCTGTTGTTCACGATGATGTCATAGAAGTACGTACGATTTAAATATATATATATATATATAGAAAAAGTATAAGACAAGTATATTTGTTCTTCTATTCGTTCATTGATGTATTTGTGTAAGGGATAAAAAATAATCGTTTCCCTTTCAGGAACATCCTACATGCGCCTTAGATCTTACACCCACCTATGCGGTAGTCTCCTCTTCTATATCTTTTTACGTGCCCTGCATCGTAATGCTGGGAATTTATTGCCGGTAAGTGAAAAATAATAATTTAGAAAGAGATGAAAAATGGAATTGTATATATCGAGAGACAGGGATGGAAAGAAAATGATCGTATATTATATAACAATTTTCCTCCAGGCTCTATTGCTACGCACAGAAACACGTAAAAAGTATCCGCGCAGTAACGAAGCTGCCGGACACATCAATGGCCAAGAGTTTTCGTGCGAAAAGTACACGCAACAAACCGCCAAAGCCGCAAACAAAAACGAAGCCGACAAGTCCCTATCACGTATCCGATCATAAAGCCGCTATAACAGTTGGTGTAATTATGGGCGTTTTCTTAATATGTTGGGTACCCTTTTTCTGCGTAAATATCGTCACTTCGTATTGCAAGACCTGCATATCAGGCCGAGCGTTTCAAGTATGAATATGTTTCTTTTTTTTCCCTACAATAATCTATGATTTCGTAAATATACGCATATACGGAATATACGCATGCAGAGCCGTGCTCGAACTTTAATTGAACCTTACCATTTCGAAGAAAAAAAAGGAATTTTTTACTTTTCTCGCCATATATACATTTTTCATTAAATATCGTATAAATAATAATGATTATATATAAATTATAAATGACATTTCAGATATCTCTTGTTTCAACGTTCAACTCATATAATTATATAAATATTAAGGGCATTTTTGAACGGCTCTCCGCTGTTGTAATGTGATCAAT